ATCTATACTGTTTTATACAACAAGAGATTAGGAATTTTGTCATTATATATTTGTTGTATATTATATTTATGTATTAGATCACCACAAGATCTTTTTTGGAAATGAATGTTTGTATGCTTAGAATTAAAAATTACTTTGAGTTCGTCCTTTACTAATAAATATTTTAATACATAACAAATCATTTAGAAATATTTATCAGGAAACGTATTCTGTAAACAACATAACAGTTTACAATAATTTTAAGTATTAAGGAAATTAAAAGCATTGATTGCAAAGGAATTTCAAATTTTGTTTAAGTACTGACACGAATTTAGGTAAGAAAAATCCATTGTATTAAAACACGTCGCCTTGACCGCGTGAAATACATGACGATAGTCGATAAATGACGAATGTATATGTATCAAGGATGGTTCATCACGTGTCTTGACGTGTCGGCTCTGATTGAGTCATGGAGACGGTCGCGGAATAGATCCAAGGCTGGGCATAAACACACACACACACACACACACATATACACATACACACACACACACACACACACACACACACACACCTATACATTACACATATTTAGGAAATTATTGAGCTATGAATAAGTCTTTTAATTATCAACAATATTTTGATAGCGGCTAATTTTTTTGATGTCGACTTCAGAAAACCTGTCTTTCCTTAAGGTGACTAAGAAGCTAAAAATAAAGCTTCGTTAAAAATTCTATTAAAATCGGCAAAGCCCTTAAAAAGCAAATAGTATTGTATTCTATTTTAATATTATTATAATTGTATAAGCCACTCATTGTAAAAAGTTACGAATGTCATTTTTTCGTCAGCACTCAGTCAGAAATGTTCAAGGCGATCGCCATAACAATAAACAAATGTCTTACATTACAAAAGGGCAAACTTCTTTTAGTATAAAACTATTAAATCTACGAGTCGATCTGTGTAACTACAGCCTACTTACTTTAACCTTTATTAAAGTATAATATTCATAACAATATAAACCGATTATCACATCATTATGCCTGTAAGATATCTAATTAATTCTCACAACAAAGAATGAACTCGGCAGAGTGATCCAGTGGTTTTTAAAGCGAGGGTGGCTGGGGGCGGGCCGCTGTTGGCAACCTCTGTAGCTATATACCCTCTACAAAATATACATTTCTGTTAGAATATAAACGTTAAAAACGTTTTTAAGTTAAAATTCAGTACAATAAAGAAAAGGTTTAATTGCATATGTTTATTTCATGAGAATTAATTTTTCGTTATTTATTTAAATGCTTAATAAAATTATGAGGAGTTCGGTTGAGCTTTTAAGTATGGCAGTGTGTTGAGGGTGTTTCATACGGACAGATCATCCGACGTAACTGACTTTGTCCTTTCAGTGTGGAAGAGCCATTATTATTTGAAATATGTAGGTAGAAGATATTTATAGATATTTTCGGAGTGAAGCCGGGTGGCGGTCGAGGGTCCCAAGATTTATGGCGAAGAGGAGAGTCCCATCTAACTGGTCTCCTTCAGGGACATGGCCTAAGTTGTGAGATATTACAACACTCCTCATCCTACCCTTAGTTTAATATCTACTTATTAACCGATAGCTGTTGTAAAACTATTTGGTTTAACTTTAATGGACTTGGATGCAAAAAACGAAGGATTGTTCTATTACGATGTATGTCTGAATTTGTTTATGTCCAATATTAATTGACCTTTAAAACACCATATACTCGTATATATTATTTTTGTGAAGTACTAACTGTAACTAATACCATGACCCTTCCTTCTTCATTCAACTCGCCAGCCTCTCATGACTCGTCCCATTCTGAACACCAACCTCCTCACACCCTTGCACGCTAAGGGCAACTCATTTCGTCGGTACTATCTACGTTTCAAGATATTTTTCTTTGTAATACTATTGTTAAGGGAATGGTACGTATTCCTAAACAGAGTAATGCGAAAGCTTTGTTTTTGCTTTGTTTATTTGACATATAACTTTAATACGTCCCGACAATATATAATATATTACTGCCTGACATTCAAATTAATTTTAACATAGAATTATCAGTCAAATGAATCCCATAAAAATACAGAAATTTTATAGCTTATTTATAAAACAATATATTCTTAAATTACCTAGAAAATCAACGAGCCGTTAATATTTCATATAAATAAATCAAATAGACATATGAGAGTAATTTCAACACTTAAAAATGTATTTAAACATTTATAACACAAAAAAACACAAAAACCTGAAATAAGTTTATTAAATCCGCACTCGAGTGATTGATGACTGAACACTACGGATTACATGAATTCGGCTCATAAATTATTTATGACTCTTTAATAGTAAATAAAGTGAAAATATATCACATGTTTTTTATATAATAAATCATAACCAATTCATTGGTTATATGCTTAATCTTTTATATTTATGTCATTACTAATATTGGATTAAACCGAACATGATGTTGGTTCAAGGAAGTCTCTGATGAGACATGGCCCGCACGTGGCAAGACATCCCGTTTCGGGCATCAGGTAAAAGTTTTTACGAAACATTTATTTGACGAACCTTCTAGACTGTCTACATATCGATAATGTAAAAGGTGATGAATATTGTGGTTTAAATAAATAGTATAATGGATTACAGATAAGAAGTATGTACTTGAAATAATCTCTTTAATAGTATATTTAAAATACACGCAGAGGGAGAATCGAACTTGCTATGTCTAAAATATCTTGTTCCTGTTGTTTTACCAACTAAGCTGTCATATCCTGACAATAGTCTTGTAATTAAGCACATTACATATTTAAACCATATTTTTTTACGTATTAGCTGCGACAGCGGACTATTAATGCACCATATATTTGATGAGATCTAATATCACTACGATGTATTGGTATAACATATTGTTTAAGGGATCGTCGGTACCATCTTCTATATGGAAGGTCATCCCATTATTTATGTGTATCATTATGCGATGCGTTACGGGTGCAACATTCCAAGGCAGTTCCTTAATTCGAGGTCCTTTCTTTCTGCGCCAGTTTTTTTGTCACTCCAGGGTTGGCGGTGTGTTTTGTGTGTTTTTTTGTCGGACCTCCAATAAAGGCCGCTCTAACGGGATAACTTGCTTACATTTATGAGTACAATAAGAATCCCTGAGAACGGGGCTGATTTTGATCTCGCTTTATGTTCCCAACAGCAGTTAAATTTATAAGTACCACAGGCTCCTTGTTATGTCGTGTTAGATTTAATTTTTCCTCTTTATTATATGAGGCAAGATGTTTACCTAGCAATCTATCGGTGTTACTTTGACAGAGTGTTAAAAAAATATATACTAATTTGCTTTTAACGCATCAGTTACTATATAATTAAATATTAAAGGGTAAAAACATCTATATAGACTCACTATCTTTATTTTTTGAGTATTGACTAGTTTCAGAAAAAGTCCATAAAGTAATAGTTTTTCAAAAGTTCTTTGTCATGAAACTAAAACACTATGCTAACCAGATGTTCGCGTCACACTACATACTATGAGTTTCACGTTTCCCATTCAATAAACTACGATAACAGTATATAGTGCAGAGATTTATGAATGAAAAACTTGACACTCTACGTACGTAGTGTCACGATGCAAACTGACGGTAAGTGTGCTAATTGCATTTGTTATACGTCCATGTATACATACACACACGTTTCTATAATATATAAAATCAGTAATGACGCATTCGTTCACAATACGTTGTTATTTATACAAAGTAGATATTATTAGAAACTGTTCTGTGGATACAAGTCAACTTAATAGATTGTTAGGAAGTACGCTTTACATTGGAACTCTTAAAATAGTTTACGAATAGATGCGAAGTGATTGCCCTTCTACAGTTATTTCCAGTCACTGTTTTCTCCTGTTTAGGGTGTAGGGAGATTTATATTGAGATTACACTGTCATGAGCGGCTCGATAAGTATGTGCGAACTGTGAAAGGTAATGTGATAACTCCAGGTAACTACAGGTAAATTAAGGTAGTGAGTAGCTCGGGGCGCTAGAACACTGTCTACACTTGAGGTTTAAAAGTTCGAAATTATTGTTTACAGTGTCGCACTTATTGATAAAAGTCCGATAACATACATATACAAGTCTTAATCATTATCTGAACTGATCTACGAGTTGAGATGTAAGCCACCTATAATAATAATAATTAATATATATCAATTAAAGATATGAAATTATCTTAGACATTGAATGACATAATTAACACGTTATCCATTACTCTAATTTAATTACAATGTTAATATACGTAGAATATTATTCATAATTCATAATAAGTACATAGATAAGCCTGCGGTAGGTAGGTCGAAAAACTACAAAAGGACAATGTTGTTTAACAAGTTAATTAGATACTCTGCAGCGACAATAGCAATCAGCACACGGTCTCGTCACCTGCTGACAGAATAACTGGTTTATTTGTTCGCAAAACACCCATCAATGGGACATGATAGCTCGTACAAATTTACAACGTTTATAAATAACGACATTTGTGGATGATTTTTTTGTCAACATTTGTTTTGTTTACTGTTTATGTTCTTCCACGTTCACTTTGAGGAAAAAAGGAATTATTCCTGACAGTATTGTGATAAACGCGATGAGTAAATTTGTATTGTGGACATCAGCGGCCGACGGTGAAACAGACTCTAAATAGGACAGAGAAATGGGAAGCTACCTAATTGTAAATTAAAAAGTTCGCGGAGTTACTACACCACGGTCCACATTGACACCCCGAGGGGTGCTCCCGGTCCACCCCTCACTCTTACTCCTTACCCCTCGCACCCCGGCGCCGCCTCCCTCCTCCCTCAAGCCTCCCTAGCGAGGGGGTTGCAGACACCCGTGGAAAGCGTGTGACATTTTGTTTTAAAATATTGTCCGCACGAATACGTTCACGTGGGTCATTTTTAATCGGTCGCTTTCATATATTTTTTTTTGCATCGCAAACAAATCTACTTTTATAATGGAATTCACAGTGGACTTTCATACGTACATGATACATCTGTAGGAGACCGTGGATCGGTGTACGGTGGGCGACCCGGCTTGTGAAAGTTCAGTAACGCACGTAGTCGGTATAGCGACAACAGGTTTGGTGTCAGCGCTGTGCTGCCGACTGTACGGGGTTGTTTAGCTGAGCGCACCAAATATTGTGGTGTCAAGGCCATCTGCTTTTCTCCGACATTCCTGACACGACACCCACAGAGGAATATCTCACGGTCTCGTATTATGTAACATTTAGACAGATACGGTTACTATTGACTCTTACTTGATCCACGATATACTCTTTGGGATTATAACGATGTTTTTAACTTGATTCAACGTTCGATTGACTTATTTGTAGACTGGTCGCGGTGAAGCCTCTAAGGGTGCCGGGTTTTTTATTCCTTCTAAATGTATTGTTTTTAATGAAACGTTTGTTTGAACTTGTAATTATTCGCTAAGGTCAAATATATGTCAAGGTCAAATTAACATGGACTAAAAGTATATCTAATATAGGCCTATATTAATTTAGTTAAGTGTTGTTTACTATGATTACACTAAATGTAAATAAATTAAAGTTAAACATAATAAAATTAGTCAGACTTAAAGACATCCGTGGTGAGGGGAAGGCGTTAATCCTTCTTGAGTCATTCAAAGAATGAGTTTGTAACACGAGAAGGTCTGTAAATGGTATTGTTAAATCGATAGACACTCTCGTCACTCGATTCGCTTATAATTCCAGATTCATAGCGGTGGCTTATTTCTCATAAAAAGTTCTTCCCTTCAAATGTAGTAATTTTGCGAGGGTGGCGCCCCCTCCCCAGCCAGTGGCCTTTTAGCGACGGAGATATTGTCTCCTTAGTTAGATCTGTATTTACTCCGGAGCAAGGTTTGCGGATGGAAATGGAAGTATCGATTGAATTATGATGACTATCCACAACCCACGTAATACACTTATTATATACATATTACAATCATATGAATGTTTATTTATTTACAATCATAGATTATATGTATCGCAATTTTAAGTAGCGTTAATTTTGAATCGATTATCATACCAGAAACTATTAATTAAATATATTTATAGATCGATAAATCGTATTGTTTGATCGTATCTTACATTCCGATGACAAATTAACAGATTATATTGAGATCTACATGAAGTATCGGTTCAGTGTTGTAGCTTACAATACAAGGGCCAGTATTCTTGAATAACATTTAGTAGTATTAACTATTAACAAACAAGCTGTTTAAGTTATAACTTAAAAAGATCGTTATTAACTTTTCAAATCTTTCCGGAGGCCGGTAATACGTTATTGATATTTGTGAACGGGCTGGATAATAATATTTGTAATAATTTACCAGTGTAACTTGATCTATGTTCCGGCTCGCCGCTACCGAACCCGGGTGTGTTAAGAGTTTTTGTATAGGGACGGGGAGGTCTTGTATCACTGGTCGTAGTGTATTGGTGTCTACAATGGGTGGAGAGGTAGGGTAACATCACAATGGGCCAGCCGCATAATTGTTAACTGAATGAGGGTTGAACGACTTGTCAACTGTTTCATAGAATGAATACCAAAAAATATTTCTACCGTTTAACAAACACGTGGGCTATGAAATAATTATTAACATCTGGAATATACTGATTATTCATAATTCTCACGGATACTACAGTGATTCATCTTTATCGATGTTATCGACCACCGGTACGTCACTAGTCACTACGCCGTCTAATACTTCATTGATATTTTCCCATAACTATTTTAATAAGATCCTGATACAGACGTATAAAACACCAATATAACTGCGCATAACAGAATTTAATTAAACAATACATTATACTAAAAGTCATTACATATAATATGTACGTTTGTTTTGAATCAACATCAATAAAACACTCATAACATAATGGTGGTAATGTATTAAACAATAATACAGAGGTATTATAAAGTTCGTTTTAACATTACCAAAGCGTGAATGAGCTAAGTGGTCAGATAGCGATCTCCGACTGCCGCAACAAAGCTCCTCATCCCTTATTAATTATTTGATTGTAGCCATAAAGGATGTCGTAATCGTCAGAATAATAATATCATAGCACGGCATAAAGAACCCCAAGTAGCGGCAACACAAGCGTAAAAATGACACTCCGGTATCAATATGTTTGTGTGTATTAGATTAGATTTATTCGACTGGGTCACGCACACATCGACAGCGCTACCCCGAAACGGGGTGTACGGATGTGGGGGCGACACGCACACAGACGCACACCAGCCAGATGCTCACACACACACACGCAGCGGAAAGGGAAAGCTACACTGTGTAAACAAATCGGGGCGAGTGTTGTCTCTGTCGCTACAGAGACGTGTGTGTGACGGCCGTGTGCCGTGGATGTGATCCGATGTAGATTGTTCTGTGAAATTGCCAGGTAATAGGCCGGGACTATAGCATTACACATAGTTATTGGTGGGTTTAGGCGCTCGACGCTCTAATCGAATTTAATATTGGCGACACATTGAATCCTTGACTTTGGATTGATGGATTCTGATGACGACTTTGATTTAAACAACACTGCTTATTATTATTGTTAACTAGTATTGTTATATATCTATTATTTATGTTAGTTATAGGTTGATTATATTATAATTTTATAATATTTTTGTAAGCAGCTAGAAGTAATCTTCAGCAGTGCTGTGTACGTCTGTAATTGGTACAGACATCAGATAAGTGTCAGTTTTAAATGTTTAGTTTTAAGTGTTTAATGCATGTACTGTTGATGTGCCATTCAAATAAATAAATAAATGAAAAAATACATACTATCCTTTTTAATGTATTTTAATTTCTCTTTCAATCAACTTAATATTCAAGACGAAGTACCTATTTATGTTCATAAAAAAATTACATTAAATATCACCCATCACTTTAAATTTTAAATTAATCAATATAAAAACTAAAGGTATTTTATTGAACTTAATAAGCATTTAATTATTACAATTACGAAGTAAATAGAAATGACATTACTACATTCCAGAGTCTAAAGTCAGGACTTTTTGTTTACAGAAGCTTCATTGTATATAATATCTAAGAATAGTTTTAATATGTCAATAGATAATTGACGGGAGATAGGTACCTATTTGTGTTCTTATGGGGGACGTCACAGAATCAGATAATCATAATCGAATCTGCAGATTTAAATAAGGCGATCAATCAGGGAGGGTCACAGGCCGACCTGACAGCAGACTCAAGAAACCTATTCTTATATTTGATGTTGAAGGAATTTTTTCAATAATATCATATGAAAATTAATAAAAAATATAAGCAGAAAAATATTAACCATATATATTCATAAAATAATAAATAATTACATTACAACGACAATCGAAGAGAGAGTGAATAAAGTCGAAAGTTAAAGCTAGTTCTCGAGCAAATAGTCTTGGAGAAAACTAAACACAAATTAAAACTGAAATGTTTCTACTATATACAAAACGATAAAAATCTTCCTACAACTTCTCTCTAGATACCCAAAATCTAAACATAGAAATAATATACCCACATCATACATAAATGGCGTAAATTTATTAGAACTATGTTCGTATTAGTTTACTTGTAAATTATAATAATAAGTTTTCATTAATCCATTCATAATAATTTGATACGCGAGTGTAAACTCCCGGGTAAGTTATATTGGCGCATTCTTCTCCAAAGGACACTATTCCAACGATGGTGTTTTCATACACTAGTGGTCCACCGGAGTCTCCTTGACAAGCATCTCTGGGTGGATTGTCGGCACCCGCACATAACATGCCATCAGTTATAATAATTATATCTCTATACGCTATCCTACACAACTCTTGAGGTACCACGTTCACATATGCAGCGCGAAGATACGCTGACGGCATACCATCGTACTGTAAAGCATAAAAATTATCATTACAAGACAATTCTAGATTAGGTTCTAATAATTCTTAAGTCAGTGGAGGCCTAGTGGTTAAAAGGCCCGCCTATCACGCTCGAGTGCGCGGGTTCGATCCTGGCCCTGGCAAGTACCAATGTGATTTTTCCGAGTCATATGTACTTTTTAAGAGTATTTATTTAGACATCACTGATTAATGCATTCCCAAAGAGGGTTGATGTCAGGCAGGCGGCCGGTCATAAAAACAATTAGCCATAGCTATTCACAACATGTAAGGCAGACCCTGGCTAAGGCTGGGAAATCGCCAGGTAGAAGAAGAAAAATTCCTATACTCACATTCACCAACCCGTATCCAGATACCAAAACATTGGACCCATCTGGGAGGTTGAAATTAGGTGTAGGAATATCCACTGCTTTAAGATTGACATCGAAATTCATACTAGTTTTGGTTTTTATCATGGATATATCATGTTCAAGTGTCAATGGTGAGTAGCTGTGGTGATTAATGAGTTTCAGGACATCGAAGGCAGTTCCTCCAGAATTACGCATAGAACTACCAACGATCACTCTAATTGCCTCCGGATCTTTTACATATCTGCAAAAAGAAGTTTATCTTCGTATGGTTACCTTATAATTTTTTGTGGACTGAAAGTCCTGATTAACAAACAATTCTTATTCTATAATTAATTTGTTAAAGTTTTCAAATGATTCTTACGGTCTAACGCAATGCGCTGCTGTTAGTACGAATCTGGTGGTAATGACTGCACCCCCACACGTGAAGGACCAGCCTAAATTCGTCATCTTTTGTAATATAGCCTGATAAGGAACATCCTTTATGTCAGTTTTTTCTCCGTTTACAATACGATTCACTTGATTCGGCGTTGGAGATGACGATACCAAACTTAAACCTAAAAATTAGTTATTAAGTCATTGGTTAATAAATTTATTAGTGGCATAGAAATATATGAACATTAAAGATAGCCTATAGAGATGATGATGTCAAAATATAGATATTTTAATGATAACAAAACAGCTAAATATAAATCAATAAAATTTAATCCATAATTCAATTGAAATAGAGTACATTTTTAATTACAGATAATGTTTTTTGGTTAAACAAAATAAAACCAGTGAGCAGATAATAGATTTCATTTCAGAGTCTACGATTTTTAAACGTTCGTAGAATAAAAACTCACCTAGGAGAAATATTAATACAGTTTCTGGTCGCATTTTCACTCAAAAAGAAAACACACTGAATGCTAAAGAACGAATGTTTAAATAGATCGTGTTCTGGTAAAAGATATCTCAAGATTATTATGAAGAATCAGATTAGAGATTAGGAGTAGATATCGTATTATTTCCAGCATCAGCTACGTATAATTTCAATCAAGATGATAACAAAGCATTTTTCCAAACATTCCAATAGTCATATTCAACATGGAAACTAAACAAGAGTATTTTTATTTGTACTTGTGTTAAAATAGTAACTGTACGTTCTTATCTCAACGCGTCATCGGTTTTACCTAACACTTAAACATCGAGTACGGAGTCAACCGAATATCTGCATGTACTTGATAAACCATATACACAAATTCTTTTAACAGGCGATGCTCAATGTTTTGAATCACAGATCCGTAAAGAGATTAGTGTGTCATAAAATGTTATTATATTTAGTGCGGCCTTTAATTAACTTAACGACCATAATTGTACTTAAATTTCACAAAGCTTCTTTACACCTCGTTGAAAATGACAAAAGAAAATTATAGTCACTATAAATGAAGACATTAAAAAATGTTATTGTTTTTTAAGTGGCGTTGAAATGAAACATGATGTATGTACACGCTACGCGAATTTGGGTTATTACTTTATAAAAAATTATGACGAAAAGGTGTGAATTTGGATATTATCGCTTGGACGTACCTGTCCCGCGGTCCGTTTATCAGTGATCAAATCTTCATGAGATCGATCGATGTTCATTATTAACACTTTTAATATTGTGTGTAAACTTAAACAGCTTTAATATGCACATATTTTAAATATGAGTGCTATTTAAATCTAAAATATGCAAATGATAGTCGTATTTTTAAATCACACTGCTTAATTGAATAATTTGTTATTGTTCTCCTACTAGTAACGCCATCTATTATCGCAGATGTTAAACTGTGTCGTGGCAGTTCTTATCGCCCTGTAACAATTGTTATCACCTTTGGTTTATTGGTTTTTACACGTGTACCTAACATTTTAATGGCAATCATGCAAGTGTTTTTATACATTTTAATTTGAGATCGTATTGGACTATAAATTCTAATAATAAATGTTTTTTTTTATTTATATGGAAATCATAAAGTTGGTTAATTGCATAGATACATATATAAATAAATCAAACTAAATAATTGTTTTATATAGGTAGATAGAATGATTCAATAAAAATGTAGACGCAAGGATATCATCGAGCTGAGTATGATGGTTTGTTTGTGTACAGTTATTTGTAGATGAGATAGTTAAATCAATGGAAAGTCGGGTTCATGGGAGCTTCACCCACGCGTTGCATTCCGCTGGGAGCCAAAGACCTCGCTTCCTTAACAAATATATCGGTAATTGTCTTTATATCCGACTACCTAGTTAGAGTTTCTTGTTCAATTATTTTGTTTACCTGTTGTACTCGACCTTTCTTTAAGATTTTTTATAATAAAAATCATATATGCAATAGTTTTACGTATAGTATTAAATTTTTTTTAGTGTATCATTTAAAATTTCTATACTATCTCTCTAACATTTAGTTTAACATTTTCTTGAATTATCACGTGTCGAAAATATTATTGAAATATTTTGTTTATGGTGTCGATAAAGACTTAAAATCAATTTATGACTATTTAAATTTAATTTTTGTTTCATAACACGCAATAATTATGAATCGATATACTTAAAATAAACTTTCCTTAACATATTTGTGATAGAAATTTACTTAAATCATGGCCGTCCAACACGCAAGCACTCCGAACCGTTCCTCATCTGTATACGTCTCTAAATATTTTATATTTATATTACAATATGGTCAATTTATTATTTGAATGAAATATTGCAATTGAATATATTATAATTCTATACACCATAAACACTTTATTTAAATATTTGATTACATATTCCGATGTACAAGTTGTGTATAAAATTATATTTTTTCAGTGGCTCCATTTGTGACGAAACTAACAAAAAATACCATAATACAAGTATTTTTTATATTTTTTATGTTTGGGACATAAAATTTGGGTCTATTTTTCCATTTTACAAACATATAAGGTATTAAATTCTTGTAAATATTAAACGGTTTAAAGAAATCTCTTTGTCCTTGCATACGCGTTTTGAGGATAGGACAAGTCATAAGCGACAGCGTTTAAAACAAAGTTTTGTGTTCTAAAATGTGCTTCTATTTTTATTTTTTTATTTAGTATATAGAAAATTTATTATTAAGTAGCGCGGGCCAACATTCTTATTAGTTCTATGTATGAGAATCAATGATCTTTTATATTTTTATTTTGCATACCAGAAAGGTCAATTTAGGCAGCAGTATATTGAAATACACGTTGATCCTTACATAGACATGTCATTATTTTTTGGGTGTTAGTACGAGTATTGGTCTATTAAAAATTAAAATTAAATTGACCTTCACAAAATTTTATAAAATTCGCCAAGGGAGATAGGCATGTGATACAAATCTTAAAGAATTTCTTTAGCTGTGATTAATAGCAATGCACAAACTACAAAGTCAAATAAAATGAAACGATTTTCAATAGTGATTATTAATTACTTTGAATAGTTTAATTTACTCTAATTATACAGCCTGGAATGTGTAATCAATTAGGGCGAGTGATAATTGTGACACATTGTGTCTTATTTATAGCACAATTTATAATAAACTTAGTATCATTTTAATAACTTTGATACGTAATTTGCGTATATAGAACATAAATGTTAACACTAATTATGAGGACACATTTTGTACTTACCCTCTGATAAAATTCACAACTCTAAGCAAAGGAAATAAATGGAGAAAGTGGAGAAAGATGCAAAAAGACTGACAAGTTTGTTTTTTAGATTGCTGTCACAAATTACAATTAGTATTTTCAAACAGTTGACTTCAATAATAGCAAAAATTCCAGTGCTTCTTGCTTTATAAATTTTGGGCTCTTTCCTTTTAATGCTAACAAATGTGGCAAGAAGAAAGTTCCTCTGATGGGAAAAAAATACCATCAAAGACGGAAAAATAACTTGTATTAATACGGGAATATATACTATTCATAAAACGGAAATTGTAGGTGCCTTATCGGGACTGTTTCTTAGATCCCACCAGAAATAACTTCAACTAAAAGAAATCGCTTTAAGCAACCAGGGGAGTGCCTACGAATTTACAAGAAAGTTTTTTAAGGTCACCTAAAAAGGAAGCCTCTCTATGGTCCTCCAAAAGATCCAACTGCATCATTATGCACTGATATACTTATTTGTTAATCCGCATTTCTGTAGTTTTTATCAAAGTATGATACTGAGTGGAAGGTCTATTAAAACGCTATAATGAAATGCTTTGGCAAAATGGATCGAATTCTTTTGCTATATGACGTATCTACGATAGCATCCATAAAGCATTTTTTTAAATATATTTAGAGCTAGATGGAAGTAGTTAAGCATTAAAAAATGTAGAGAGAGTGCGATACTTCAAAACGACGAATAAGACAGCAAAAACTATGTTGTTGGTCATCTACAAGCTGATGATCGTGTAGATTACCTCAAATCTGCGTATAAATGATTAGTTCTATCACTTGCAAGATCCAAGATGTCTCATGATAGGTCTGTAATTGGAGAACAATCCATTTTCTTTTATCTCAGATGCCAGTTGGTCCATTTCGAGCTACTATCGAATCAGCTGCAGGTAGCTCAATAGAACTGGTAAAAAACATTCTATACCCTTCAGTATAGACTCTGTTTCGTCGTCATAAGGTAAAAGATTGCAGGTTCACAAACATTCCGACAGAAAAACAGTCCCAGTTCCAGTAATACTGGGAGGCTAAGCGTTTATAAGACCCGAGTATTGACCAAGTTACAGTCTAATAAGCGTAGAATTGTATGAAAAAAGGAAGCTATAAGGTCCTGAAAATTAGGGATGATGGTCAACGTTAAGGCTAGTCAGACATTAGCTAGTTGATGCTAAAATCCCCTTTTAGACTTTAGAGAATTCTAGCATATATGTAGCCTGTAGCCTTCTGGAGGTGTCTGAATGGATGTTTGACAAAAAAAACCTTTGTTTGTAATACAAATTCAATTACTCGTGTTCTATCTTCTTGCCTTTCTTTAATATGACATTAATTAACCGTAAAAATTTGATTCAATTCTTGGTGTTAACCATATATAAAATTATATACGAGCATCATTCCTACTTACAAACACATATTTTTCAAGAAGATATCCAAATTGTACGTCAATTTAATCTGTAATTTACTTCATCGGTTCTGTGAACCGCTTTATCTCTTATTTTAAGCTACCACACATTAATGATTAATTTTATATAAGTCTAAAATACTTAATTAGTCAATAAGAAACAATTTTGATTTGTCAAAATTCATCTCCTGAATGGAGGTCAAAGTTAAGAAGAAATGACAAACGAATAACTATTACATAAAAGTAAATATTAGAATTTTTCTTCATGCTTGTCAATTAAATATTTCTGACTTCCTTTTGTTTTTATATAACAAATAAATTAAATTTTCGAGATATTAATTAATAAAATAAAACTAAAGATAATAGCAATATGTAACAGTTTTGTTCCTATAGACAGAATAGTGGTTTGTACCTGTTTTCCAACATCATATATCAATTATTAAGAACACAGTTAATTTACCAATATATATACTGTAGGGCAATTGTAAAAATACAATATTTTTAACTGCTTTCAATAAATATACTGGTCTTTTCAAAAATAGCAAGCCATTCCCTTTCATGGTCCTACATATATGTATATATGTTTTGATACGAGTCTTAAATCGGCTAATATACCTATCACCCTCTGCTCTGTCAAATACTTCATACATTCAATGATGAAATCGTCATTATTTTATCAGCAATCCTTCGCCTCTGACTACTGAAGAATTCCAAGCGTCTGAATATCATTGTCATATTTACAACTATAATGATCTTGCTAAAAGAGCAGTTAGTAATTATTTTCTTTTACTAACATCATGAGTGTATCAATAGTCAATATTAATAATACTCTATTAATTTTGATGACCAAAACGCGTTGACCTTATACGCACCAGCTTTCGTAGTATGAGAGTGACTTTTCGATTTTTGGGATTCTTAGTCACGTTATAGGTGGAACCAACAAGTCAGCATTATCTAATGAAGTTGCCACTGTACGTTATGTGGCGATTAGCGGGAGATCAGCGTATATTTCAGAAATCTCCATTTAAGGAGAAGGTAGGTCAACTTCTTCTACATTCAGTGGAATAAAAGATAGAAGGACTTTATTGGAGAATCGACACTTTAAACCAATATTCTTTTGTGTTGTTAATGTGAAAACAAGTGAGAGAAATTATTTTAAAACAGTCAATGTAACATAGTAAGTCAAATAAAATAATTTTATTTAAATGTAGATGATCGTAAGGCACCCTGGATTCAATTTGCATAGTATTTTCACGTGAAACAGAGGTTCTTAATGTATTATCCAAGTCAGTGGAGCGACGATTTCCTATTTATGGCTGCGCTATTGTGTCTTTATTTGTATCAAGGCAGCCAGCAGAAAGAAATACGTGTTGGATAACATACAGCCGCCTCACTTTATGAGGATTACGAAATATTATAACTAGTTGACATATTATTTCGTTTTTTCTATGCATTGTATGTGTTATTTTCATATAATTGACGTCAACTCTATAGCGATTTTGTCCATTCGTTGCACGTAAAAATGACGGATGATATGAGAAAAACCGACTTGTTATGTATTCTTCACAATATCACTGAAAACATAGAAATTATAATACGTACAGCCATTTAGGAATTCACGGTCACATGATTAGATAACACACACACACACACACACACACACACACACAGACACGCTGCGGCTTGATTCGTTCTACTTTCAGAAAACCATTTAATGTTAAACAATCAAACTATTACATATATAATTTATATTTTTATATAGTTCCGCTTTTCAATACTTTTCTATGCCAATATAAGTAATAGACCAGCGTAGTTAGACCCCTCATGGCCTTAAGTGCACCTCATTTAGTATGTACTAAACAGTGGCGGCGCGTGATATTCGAGGTCTTCCTCGGTGGTTCTTCGTTCGCGGAAGGCGCCTTGACTCCGGACAATGGCCAGCCATCTGCGTTCCCAACTCATTACGTATTTACTATGAAACTTTAAAATTAGTTGTGAATTTTTTTTCTTGTAAAACGCACCGCGGAAGCGGAGTGTGTGAAAATATCAATTTATACAACGATTCTCGTACACTTGTCATATTAAAATTTATTACGTATGAACACTTGGAATGTAGTTTTTACTTACAATTTATCTTATTCTTAATATCATGATTGTATAATGTGGTGTTTTGTTATAATAGTTATCTAATACATATAACCTCTATACTAGACATCGTTTTCATATTTTATCAGACGACGCTGGTTTCTGAGCGGCGCCTGTACGTCGCAACCATCTCCAATTGCAAATAACTTGTCAATTGTATTATAATATTCAAATGGCATTTAAGTCTAGTCATATTGCGTCAACGTTCGATGACTGACATTTGTGTATTGGTCAACCAACAATGAACCAACGTAATTGTACCTAATCCCATAATAACAGGTTGCTAGTTATTATCGTAATGGTGTGACAACACAATACATTTTACGAACTCGATATATTAAGAATTGTATTGTATGCAAGATATTCTTTAAAACTATTTTTATACTACAAGTTTTTAGCTCGTTTTCGTGATAATCAGAGATGTATTTGCAAAAGCGATGCAATATAGGACAGCAAAAACTGTTCAAAATTTAAAGTATGCCCATAAAGTAGTTAAAGTGTTCTATAATATAGATCGGTAAATGAAAAACATGTGTCATAGTAAAGAAAACGTTGATACGTGAAGCTATGCGAGAAGCTGAGACGATACAGCTTGGTAATGAGTTTATTGATGAATGACATGATAACTATACGACTCAAAGATTATTTAACAACTGAATTTAAACAAATTATTTAGTAAAAATAAAGGAAATTTTTCGGGTATAAATACGCTATTTTACTATATTATTTTTATATATTCCCAAACTTTATAGCACCCGTGATCACGCGCAGACGAGATGAATGTCTGTCAGTAAGTCTTGTTATTTGTCATCTATTTCTTTTTCTAATTCTTACAAAGGAAATGAAAAATTAAAGTAATTTTTATATAAAGTAACAAGTCATTATGCTGATAAAAATATTTAAAATATTTTTATACATCTTCATATATTTTTTTACTGTTTTTTCACAAGAGTAACTATCACCAATATGTTGTTACTATCCTGAATGAATTATTTTGTTTATACTGTGACTTCATATGTTTTTTTCGATAATAAAAATTAAAGAATTGCATAGAAAGCAAATAAAAAAAATATTTCCTAATAGTATGCTGGCAAAATAATTTAATATTATTAATTTTGTGTTATATTTTTATTAGTAGTCTTTAGAATAATAAAATTTTTAAACATTACTGCAACAACAAAAAAGATCTTATTATCTAAATTAAAGCAAGTTTCGTGTATTTTTGTAGTGTATAATTTTATAATACACTTAATTTTCGTCCCACATATATTTTTTAAGCAATCTATGATTACTTTAGGTCCTATTATAGTGGCCTTCGACATTAAATTGAGACGTCAGTGTGACAGTGGTCTTACATAAAAAATAATGTGTTATCGTGTGGGTGAGACGATCTGACGTACTATATAATGTTATTACTTTAAAAGGACATATTACGAGTAACACACGTACTCTGTGTTTGTATGATATGATATGAATATGTTTTCTGACTGAGGCTGGGGATCACATTTTAATGAGATTTCTGTACTTATCTGCTTAATTTTAATGTATTTTTATAGAGATAGTGATCAATCAATGTACTTTTTCTTTTTTGATGATCTATTCTAATATTCATTCCTATATAATAGCAGACACATCATGAAACAATCAAACATAGAATACAAACCGCAGTCTAAGAAACTAGGAAAAGAGTATTTGAATTGTTTTATTTAACTTTAGACCGATTACCATCCAGTTGCGGAACGGACTTGCTCAATATTATCACAAAAAATAGTTACTCGTGGGCAAAATCCATTGATACAATAATATAAAAGTGATTACGTGTCAATATTTTATGTGTATAAGATAAATGTTGTATGAAGCACGCCTACATCATGTATTAGTTTCATAATAATTGCCGCTTTGTCATTCAAGTAACGCTATAACAGCTATTGATGTCATTCGATGTGAACCTGAATGTTCCGACGAGGTATTAATGCAACGAGAAATACGAATACATATTGAATTATGTGATAGAAAATTAAGAAAAGATACAGCACTAATAAGTGAAACTAATATTTTTCGGATATACTCAAACTCAAATTCAAGTAACTTTATTCAATATAGAAGCATTACACTTTCTTATTGATGGTCACTTGAGACACTACCACCAATTAACTTAAGTCGACTGAAAAGTAGTCGAAACGTCGGGAGTATGTAGTTTTTTACAAAAATAATATTGTAGTATATTCGATAAATATTAATTTCATTTAAATGAATAAAACTCGTTTAAGTTATACATTTCATTAAGCGCTAAAAAGGTTCGTAGTATTCTGAAAGATTAATCCCTACTAATATTATAAATGCGAAAGTAACTCTGTCTGTCTGTCTGTTACGCTTTCACGCCTAAACCACTGAACTGATTTTAATGAAATTTAGTACAGAGATAGAGTTGACCTTGAGAAAGAACATAGGATAGTTTTTATCCCAGACTTTTGAAAGGTTCTCTTGAAAACGCGATATAACCGAACTCCACTCGGGCGAAGCTGCGAGCGGAAAGCTAGTCCCTAATTATTCATTTGGCTACCTGCTTTTATACTAAAAAATATATGTTATAGTTTTAATCGTACAAAAACAGAACGTATTCAGTTCTGAGACATATTAACATCAATACATATTGTCTGTAGATGTCGTGCTCCATACACGGACGAGACCTTGCCATCCACTAACAGTAACGCCAGTTTAAGAGGTAATTGTGATTGAACTGACCGCTACACCCACGTACCACTAATTGCGTTACACTTTTTATTGTCACCACCCACCATACGTTTAAAACGATTAAACAATACGATACACAAACTATAATATTTTCATAGTAAAAGTTTCTTTAATAAGATCTCGGTTGCGACTATAGTACCAAAACATATATATATACGTCTTTAATTATCTATTTCTTTTCTATATAGTTCTTAAAAGAACAATTATTCTATTACTAAGTGTTTTAAATTGTTAATATTATAAAAAATGAGTTTACAATCGACACTAACGCTAATAGTATTATGACTCTCATTCTACGTACGTATAAATGCAATGTGTTATATTTTTTTCCCGAGATGATTGTTTTACGGCCATGAAACCATATCAAATTAAGCATTCACAGAGACCTAGTGCGGATAGTCGACAGTTATAATTAATAAAATCTAGGCTAAGTTGATTGTTGCGCTGATGTCATAGAAACTAAAGGTCATTGGAGACATTACGTCGATCAACCGAGCGTACGAGCGATATAAGGTTATATATTAAACGATATATACTTCATTAAATTATACACATATTAAAACGATTCACTTATTATAAGAGTTGTTTTTATGAAGCTTTTCATTCAAACTGATTATGGGAGACGCGCGGAATATTTAAATCACCATCTGTGGTCTTATTAAAATGTTCTGTCTAGGAATGCATTCAGGTCGCTCTGTTAATCGTTGATTGAGGGTCATACGATATCTTCACGACACGGATCCGATACGATTTCCTATATACCATACGATTCTTGGTTTATCTATATAAATATTATCAATACTCATACATAGTTCTACTTATGTCTTGTTATTGTTTTATTTATCATTAAAGATATGTGATGCGTATTATATTTTTATAGTTGGGTTGTTTTAAATCTTTGGCGTATATAAGGATATGAGTCGCTACCTGCTGGCAACTACGTTCTCGTCAACCTACAAACGTCATTTTAAACGTTTCTTTATAAATTTTTAAAACATTTACATTTCAAACATATTAAAATGAACTATTATAAGTATCTATTTATTTATATTGAGTTCAAAATGTATAATATAATGATAGCGTATATATTTCGTCGCACGTTACCACGAGAAGTTAGACTTCAAACACCTAATATTTGTAAGCTAATATTATCAATAGGAATTTCAATTTCTGTTGTATTAATGACTTCATCATGAAAACACATCGATGTCCAAAGAAATGTGAATACTCATCATGGTTTTTCTTTAATCTTTTAAAAGTAATTTTGCTCGTTTCCATATTCGGACGATGAGAATGCATCAAGAGCAGCGATGGATTGACTCATGTTTTGACGCGTGCTCTATAATACACATTTAAATAATGCTTGGAATAAACTGTATTGTTTCTTTGTGAAGATATATGAAATATTTGACGTTATATATTTATACTTCTACCTGGCCATTGCCCAGCTATAGCCAGGGTCTGCCTTACATATTGTGAATAGCTTTTTCTATTTATTTTTACGACCGGCCGCCTGCCTGACATCAACCCTCTTTTGGGAATCAGCATTAATCAGTGATGTCTAAATACTCTTAGAAAGTACATATGACTTGGATAAATCACATTGGTACTTGCCAGGGCCAGGATCGAACCCGCGCTCTCGTGCATGAGAGGCGGACCTTTTAACCACTAGGCCACCACTGGCTATGTTATATTGATGTTATATATTTATATGAAATATTATATTGACATTTAAAATTCTTATTATAATATATTTACAAGTTTAAAAAGGCCAATCTAGATTTTTCGTAATATTTTTTGTGTTTAAGCAAACCAAAACAGAATGAATATTTTAATCTTTTCTTCTTTCTCTTATTTCAATTAACATAATCTTATCTATTCAATTTTTCCTACATTCAAGGGTCAACTTTCACTGGCTTCAGAGAGTTCCTGATATAAATCATCACACATTATATACGTGGCATCAATTAAAACATGGTCTTTAATAAAATTATAGTCGTAAAATATATGTTAATAAAATACATGTATTAGAAATTAAACTCTGTTTTATTTGCGAAATTCATAACCGTTTCAATGATTTGTTTATTTCCATTGAAGGTAAAAAAAAATCTGTCTAAAAAAAATAGTTTTTTTTTATTATAATATTGCAGATTATATGTTATATGATGTAAATAGTAGGTAGCTTGTTTAAATATATTTTTGTATGATCCTGTACGCGGCCTTAACGATGACCGAGGTCTTCCGTTCAGGAAGAGGAAAACTAACCGACTGTCACAGCCTCGCGGTGACACTGGATGTAATTGTTAATAATATTTATTATAACTTATATAAAATTAACTTAAAAAAACACACGTTCAACGTCTTCACTTAAAAATTAACCTATTTATACTTCTTTTTTTTCCATCATGAAACATATTGCAAAAGATTTTATGAATGATTGACATTTAGTCGAATAACTAAATATTATTATTGGTTTTAAATAAGAATATGTATAACGAATTTTGTTAATATTTTCTATAACCTCTTTTACGAAGTCGGTTAACTATCATCGTCTCACATAAAAAAAATATTTTTTTAATTTAAACAACCTTAAAAGCACTATCATAACTAATGTAATATTAGCCTATCACAGTAAAACTACCGTGAAAATATGAGTACCAACAATTAACACTTCTCCGGATCATTTAAACGGTTTTTTTGTATTTTTTTCGATACAATCCGCGAGTCAGCCTCCGTGGAAGTGAACCGGTTTTTCTATGATCTAGCGACTCCGATATTATCTATGCACGTTTCTCATTAAACGCCACAGTTACAACCAACGGAATCTTACTAATATTTCGTACGTAAAACAACAATTAAATATAATGATCGGTTTTAGTATATAAACTTTAAGATTTATAGAATAATGTGACAAATAGTTAAGGCACGCAATACGAGATAGCGAAGGCACGAACAAAGCAATGTCCGTCTAAGTATAGACGCGTATCGGGAAGATCCGATTCTCACGGGCGAGCCGATATTCGCGGTCATTTACACCAGATGTACGAAACTTAGTTTGAAATGGATGCGGCATAATGATTATATATTAAATACAATTAATATGTGGCTTAATTAAATAGGATGAATATGACCAACCTTAAAGAAATTAATTGAAATAGTATGTTAATGGACTATACTTTAAAACACATCGCTTCAAATTATACATATATACAAACATACGTATATTCATGTTTATATTAATGTATTGGTTCTTGATTAGAAATTTAATGAAATATTATGTTATTACTTTAAGAATTTATCTAAAAATTAATAGTTTTAATAATGCCGCATCCATTATATTGTTAGTGAGTGTTGTTTTAACATAATCTGCGCATACGGCGTGTTCTAGGTAAGTTTATTTATTTAAATATGCGTGAACTTCGCTCGCCTTTGTCTCATGTTGGAGCTCTTCCTGGTCTTCATTGACTATTTAGTTTTCATTATATAATATACGATTGTGTTATAACATTTCGTTTCTGACTTAAGTATTCAGATACAAAGAATTGTACAATAAATTTAAATATGACTCAACTTAAGGATGAAGGAAACAGAATTGCGTCAGAATTGAAGCCATGATTTTGATGGAGTGATTTTTACAGCGCATTTAAACCCTTTCCAGGGACGGGTCGGTAAATTAATGAAGATCTCGCTGTACGAAATTCTTGGACGACTCATCGCAGGCCGTAAAGTGACCGAAGTACTTATTGTGCCTCCTTATTTTATTACGGGGGAACGGCTATTTAAATTTTACATGAATTTCATATTAACTTTCCCACAACACTTGCGTTCAGAGAAATCTAATTAAACATTTATTTGTATGAACATAAATGTTTGTACAGAAAAATACCTGTTTGAATACAAATGTGATGCAATTAAATTCATGTACTGTTACGCTATAAATAAATTATCATCTAAATAGAATATCCGGCATTCCGGAGTTCATCTTGGTATAGATGGTTCGTCACCAAGTCTTATATATTAAAGCCTATTTCTCCCGTTTCTAGGCTCCAGGTTGGGTGAATAAACTACGATAGTTTTAGGGCCGGACCACACGGTCGAGATGCCGCATCTGTTTTACGAGTAGAGTGACTCCTGAATTCAAAAGTTTAGTCGCGTCGTTTTGTGTATACCAGGCTTTACTGGATGCAGGAAGGCTCCACAAATAAAATATGTGACTAGAAGGCGACGGAGAGGTGTAGAGATGAGGCGTGCGAGTGAGATGGATGGACTGGATCTCGGTGTGTGGGAGCAGGATGCAAATAGAGCCTTGGTTATCTGAAACGCGAGCACCTTATTTAATCGCCCCGCGCTTCGTTTTGTAGGATAGGGAAAATTTTGCCATCTTACTGTCCTTATAACTTTTAGTGTTTGATGATTTTAATAAAAAGGCAGTTTCTTTGCAAGCTATTGTATACAAATACTTTGTTTCAATCATCATAAAAATTTAGATAAAATGTGAAGAATTTAAAATAATCATGTTTAGAAAGTCAAAAAAGAAAACGTAATTTTTACTTAAAAACAAAATCAAATGTTCAGGAAATGTTCAGTTGAATCAATGAAATTATTATAACGCATCCCTTTAATAAACATAAAATTTAATATACCATGCGTTTTATCTACAAATTTTATGTGTGATATAGTTTTAAGCTTACAAACAAATGTAAATTATTGCAATAGGCTCACTCGGAGCTACATACGGCCACTCACACACGGCTGGCTATTACCCGACCGAGTTCGATCTGGTGGGAAACATTCCGAAATTTACATACACAAAGAACATTTTATTTAGCCGTATTATACATGAACTGAGAGTATTTGCAAATATGTTAAACTTATTTGAAGCTGTTAACTGTTAATTACAGCAAAATTTGAAGGAAAATTACATTTGTTGAATATATTTCGACTTAATAGGGTGTATTTTCCTGACTTTGGGAATTCTTTTGAAAGGCTATATATATAGACATATATATATGTGTGTGTATATGTTACGAGGGACACTGTGAACGTTCAAATTGAATCACAGATCTCTGTCATTGTGTAATCAAAGCATATAACACCCTTATTAGTGGAAAGTTGAACGCGGATGTTCCGCGAACACTTATATAAACCATAGTTTCTATAACATTTATGCTTCATATATTTATTTAACATTAAATGTTCGTTAATTTATTTATTCATTTATTCAGATATATATTTGTTATTTAATAACAACAGATATTAAGTTCATTCTGATGAAAATCAACACGTCTTTTCTCATTACTGATAACATCTACAACGTATTAATATTTGTTAGTTACTCCTGTACTTGAAATTTTTAAGTTTTTTAACACTTTTCATACATATATATTATTTAAAGATAATATATTTAATACGCTTATTGTTTTATCTTCTATAGAAGTATTTCGTTAAAATAATATCCTTTTAGTTCAATTTAAATAACAAATATTGTTGATAACAATATATTTGACGTAACAGCTTCATGAGAATCATGTATGTAGAAAGTGACCAAATAAAGGTTTACGAAGCGAACAAAGAGGTCGGATCAATGAAACGGATGCATACTAATGTGGAATAAATACGAACACATCGGGAGCCGCGCACACAGCCTTCAATATGCCATGAGAGCCTTCTGTAGGGTCGGCACTTTATATACGTACATGTAAAAATATTATTTTATTATATATATTACCTTTAATAAATGTTAGAACGATATAAAGCATAGGATACAATGATACTGTTAACAAAATCTGTAGTAAATTAATCGATTAACAGCGCAATGATTAAATTAAAGCAAGTTTTAATCGTATTAACGATGGTATAAAAATTATAATTAAAAAATCAATCAACAGAAATGATTTATAGAACTATAGTATACTAGTATAGTTTTAAATGATTTTAAATAAGTTTGAATAGTTTTAATATGAATATGTTCGCACAATCCTTTGCATATAAGGCAGGAACGTCATATTATATGCAACTGTTTCGGCAATGATTATTATCAATAGTATGAACATAACACGATATATGTATTTAGATAATTAATAATGATCATCATTTGAAATAAACATAAGATTATTAACTATTCATTGATATTCAGAATAAATGTATATACTTTTCTGTATAGAAATATATATGTACTTTGAATGTGAGAAATAGGGTTTATTTGAAGTAATAATGATAAAAGATTCGAATTATATATTAGTTTCTTCTAAGTAGATATGATGTACAGTTTAAAATCATTATTTTTGTATGCAGTGTGTATGTATAAAGTGAGTTTTCTAATTCCATCCAGATCCTAAGCCGTTTCATATCCCAGGAGTGGGGTCACCGCGTTCCAATGGAACTGGTTCCATTTCAATATCACACCGATACACTCAACCTGTTTACGCCTCCTTACTTATTGTTGGCGTCTTTTTGTATCTTTGTTTTAAGTTATTAACACTATGATACATATGTACTTCTTGGGCACTGTTTAACTCGGTGAAGGTAATGTATTGTAAGTATTACCTTATATACAAGATGCAGAAGATGCGGACGTGATGATGTTTTTTCCGCCTCCGTTTAAGGTCGCTTACGAAGGTTCCAACGTTCTCATCTGTAAACAAGATCAAGTATTAACAATAATAACTAAACATTCCAAGGGATTCTCACTTTTATTCGTATTGTGATAGGGATTAAGATTGCTCTCAATAAGTCGTAAGTTTTGATCGCTGTGCCAACCGTACATTATACGGTGGTCGAATTAGTCACAATGGCTATCAGTTTTTGATAATAGTAAATAAATATACCGATGACTTATCGCTGATCTAGGGTCGTCGGCCTCTGTACCGTTCCACTTGCTCGCGACCAAATCACTCTGTGATCCTGTTCCCGTGGATGCGGCATTTTTATTGTCATTCGAGTGTTGACATTGTGTAGATGGCACTCATTGTGATGGCACTAGAAACGTAACCGAATTGTTCAATTATTTTATTTTTAACTATTCATAGCTTTAATTTGTAACAAAATATTTTTCATGTCACTGAAAGTAGATAAGTGTTTTGTATGAAATTAAACTATTAATTAAAGAAATAAAAATGGAAGAAAAAAGTCTGATATAATCTTAAATGCCTGCAGTATGTACTCCAAATTTATATATAATTTCCTAAAATAATTCTCATTATAATTATTTTAATATTATTAACGTATTTAGATGTCATATCCATTTATTCTGACATCCCTAATATCTTGCTACATCGTGATTCCATAGACGAATACCGACGTGATCATTCTGCTAATCAAATTTTGTAAGTGCGGTTACAATACTATTATATTTTTTTTCACTTGATCAATTATTCAATACCGTTAAGAAATAGATCGATATCGCCAGCGATTTGATTATTAGCGTCTAATACACACACAAGTTACTAAAACCTACTTGTACTGTTACTTACACTTCAAATTATCGCCAACAACAGCGGAAATCATGTGCTGTATATATACAAATTGATTATTAATATTAATATTAAAATTATATAGATATTCTAAGAAACTGTTTAAATATGATCCTTTCTCATCCTACATCAATTCTTTAAAAATCTCAATACACTTTTGCATAGTATTTTTTTTAAGATCGTCGAATTTTCGAAAAATAATTTAATTTATCCAAATATTTAAAATTAATAATATCTAATAATCACTTTAGTCTTTTTTCATATATATATACTATCACGATCATATTTTTCGTATATATTTCTTAATATAGCTGAGTTTACAACTAAATATTTCTTCACATATATATAATAGTAAGTAAGTATAAATCTGTGAGCTAGAAATCAATTTCTCTGGTATCTTTCAATCAGAAGCCGCCGGCGTCACGGCTCTCTCACTCGCAAACAATGAAAACGAACTAGTGAATTTATTACACTATTACTATACATTTTATTTGTTAAAACATTATAACAATCCCTACTAATATTATAAATACGAAAGTAACTCTGTCTGTCTGTCTGTTTGTTACGCTAGCACGCTTTAACTATTAAACTGATTTTAATGAAATTTGGTACAGAGATAGAGTTGACCTTCAGAAAGAACATATTCTTAGGATTGTTTTTATCCCAAACTTTGGAAAGGTTCTCTTAAAAACGCAATATAACCGAACTCCACGCGGGCGAAGCTGCGGGCTGAAAGCTAGTGTGTATATATACATACTATATATATGTATTAAAAGTACCGTAAACTTATAAGTACGACTCATGTATATAAAACATAAATCACTTTTGAACACAAGCTATTTTATTATAACATAAAATCTGGCAAAAATTTTATAGCAAACTTAGTTAACCGTTTAGTTTAAACACTTGTAAGGTTGCCACACGTTATTTTGTGTTTATTCAATTTTGATCTTTATTTGTATGTTTATAAGGTTGATATGGTTTTAATGCCACGGTTTGGGCGAGTGTACCGCTGTCTTAACAATGGCCATAATAAATGCCATAAACGTCACGATGTTTGGCGTCCTACGGCGCTCAGGGAAGATCTGTTAACGAGAACGAAACACGTCCTAGAACTTCCGCCACAGAATATTATATAGTAAATACGATAAATACATATATATTATTGGTAAAATATACACTATACATATATGTATAGGTACCTATATATATAGAGCATTGTATTCATTATATATGGATTATAATTTTCATTGCAATTGCTTTTGTTTTAGATATTAGGTAAATTTAATATGAAATGTTCAGTGTACTTTAATATGCCAAATTAAACATCTGATTGAAACGCACCAGTAAAATAAGATTACCAGCGTCAAGATTCATCTCATTTGGTAGTCCTCCCTAGTTGTCATCCCTAGTAGTAGTAGTTGGTAGTTAAAGCCGCGTCTGTGTTATTCTATTCTATAGTTGTGTCGAGGGAGGCGCGCGCGCAGGTCGAGGGTCAATGACCGGGCCGTTACGTGCTTCACGTAAGCTACTTTATTATGGCCTTTCAGGTCAACCCCCCATTTTATTGGGTCAAGTGGCTTGATTTCTCACTCAATTAAGAGTTAGGGATATATTTATTTAGCTTTAATATGAAATTTTAAGTAAAAATATCTGTTTTATACTTTTAATGATTTTAGTTAAATTAATTCAAAATTTGTTAATGATACGACGTAATGGCATTAATGAATTAAAAAGATAGCAGTATGTACCTACTTATATTATTTTTATCGTGTTAATTTGTAAATAATATTCTAATTACTCAACAGACACAAAGACGTTGCAACTTCAACCATTAGCCACTAAC